AGTGTTGGGTGTAAATTTCAGGATAAAAGCAATATATGTACATTGTCGGAAAATATAAAATTTATTTGTACTCACAGGCACTTGTCTGATTTTTTCCCATAAATACCTTTAATAACATTAAGGTATATATGACATTTTTTTCAGAGACAAATGCCTGTGGGGGATGTATAAACACTGAAAAAAGAGGGTGTCATTACTATTTGAGGCCTTTTTCGAGTAAACATTCCAAAGCAACTTTCAAAGCGTTCGACAAAATACATTCTTTTTCCTTTGGTCGCATGATGGACTTGATATTGAGAGAAAAATAAGGCCTTTATCATACTAACCCTTCAAAGCTAAACGTGCTGAATTAACATATTCTTTTGTGGACGAACGTTTATATGTTGACATGTAGATGTCTTTCTGTTTTATTATCATAGTGTTTGTTTATGTGTATACATTTGTACATGATTTTAAATTCCTCTAAATGCCAACAGTATTTTCGTCTTTTAGATGTGAATCTATTTTCTTTCTCTTTTTCATATAGCATGTTTAGTATAAATTGTTAACAAATATCAAAAACAAATATAAGGCATTTGTTTCTGACTCTGTTCATTGTTTTCAGTTATATATATTAATTCGTTTTTTGACATAATTTTTTTAACATTTATTCACAACTATACTATATCTAGCTAGACTTGTGAGGGTTAAACGCTAAAAATTGTAATGACATAATATGTCCATGGTAGAAGACTTTACAACTTGTAAGAGGCATGCGCTGTTTGAACTTTAGAAGTACTTAAGCATTTTTGTGCGTCAATTAGTTGGGTTGCCTGTCTTAATTATTTATGTATACTTCTCCTTTAAACATATTTAGAAATTAAAATATGTAAACAAACACACATAATTGCTTTTATAGTCTGAGAGTCGTTTTTTCTTCTTATTATTGTACCCTCGTCTTATGTTCTTCACATTCTGCCATCTTGCCACGGTAAGATAGCTAGGCATCGTCTAGCCCAGCGCAAACCCTCCTCTAAATTATTCCCGTATTAATCAATATTAATTTTAATCGAAAATAATTGATTTGATTATATCCGTTTTTCGAATAAATTGTTACCTTTGCCTTCGGATTATCTTAAGAATAACCGAGGAAAATAAGCATGAATGGTGTGTCCCCAGGATTTCATATAAGTTTCAACTATAATGACTCTAAACATTCATAACAATGAGCGACTGGATAAAATGTGGAATGATCACGTGTGTTTTTATACATTACAAAATTGCAAGGAGTTTCGGCTATACATGTATATAGAATCATGTTCCTGTGTACCCATATGCATGATTGATCATGATGCAACTTTATAACTAAAATAGAGTTCAAACCTGACACACTGCTGGATTGAAGGACATTTAATAGGTTTTGAATTGCCCCAACCAATCAACAGACTTTTACTATGAAAAAGTCATTAATATCTTCCAATCAAGTAGTAAAAAAGCATTCAGTCTGAAGACTGTCCATAGTTCAACTTTTAAGACCGTCTCAAAGGAGACTGTTATAAATTATAGATCTATAAACTGGGTGATTTGAAATACATTTGTACAATACTTACTTTCATTTTTTAAGAAGAAAATGGGTAAGAAACTTGCTATTCTGCATTTTTTCCATCAAAAGAAATATACAGTGTACGAACATGGAAAGAAATATATTCATGTACAGACTACAAATGTAATTTTCTGATTTCTTGAACTTCTCTGGTCTAACTTTGAACATTAATCATTTACATGTACATGCATATGTATGTTTGGAATTTGTCAGTAACAGGGATCTCCATGGACGAAAATTTTACGAGGGACTTTCATCGGGACAAAACCCTGTGTGTTGCAATTGAAAGTGCTTCATTTCTCAATTTTATAGTAAGGAATAGTGAATAGACTGATATGTTTGTTATATTAATTTATTTCATAGATCTAGAGTTACCAATCTTTTCACTATATTTTTAATTGTCAACAATTCCAATGCCAAGCCTGCATGGCTCTTTTTAGGCAAGGATGACCACAATTCAACTGTTCTGTTAACCTACAAAAATGTAGTAAACATCAAACCATTTTCCTGTCAGAAGGTTCCCGAGTTGTTTTCTTGCTGTTTTGTTAATTTTGTTGGGACTTATAAAATCAGTTTATTTTCACTGTTGAATTCAAAAGTCACAAACCCTGATCGACGATTTGCAGCATCAACAACAACAAGTTTCGTAACCATTTTGTAAAACCTTGAATAAAGATTTCTGGAGGGCAAAAGTTTAAAACTGACATGGTTTTAATGAATTAAAATTGCAAATTCCATAGTAGTTGACCATGTACATGTAACATGCAACTTTCAATTATAAGTATACTGGATGTATTAATTTGATTGTAAACTACATGTATGAAATTAATTCAGAATTACAATACAAAACTTCTTCAGATTATCAGGTTGCAGTTAATATTCATGTATTTACTTTTAAACTTGTACAGTGATTCAATATGACCAATAATTGTTGTACTCACGTTATTTGGCATAAAAATATGTTTCCATTTTATATTAAAGAGACTAATTAATAATGTACTCGTTGAAAAACTAATGGGGGATGCTGATTGTGCAGGTCAATAAAAGCATGTGTTCAACCTGTTAAAACTTTTTTCTTCGTAATTGAATTTAGATTTTACTTTTAATCTAAATTTTCATTAGCATTTGCTGAAAAGTACATTTTTGTAATTAAATAATGCAATTAATATTCTATCTGGATCAAGTGTTCTCCTGTCAGGTGTGTTGATCTACCTATTCAAGTGAGATTAGCGATCATTAGCTTGTTATCCCTCAGGCCAAATAAAAATATATGTGTGGTTCCAGTTACATCCTGAAAAAAAATAGAGTCAGAATGTTGTGTGTTCACTGAGTCCGATTTCCGGCATTATACACACTCCAACCAGAAGCTAGCCATTTTCTATATGTTTGGTTGTAAAATATAATGTAAACAGACATGTTACAATTTTAGTTAATTTTGTTGCATTCTGTTAAGAATTTGTTGCATTTTTATCCATAATGGATCCTTCTAAATCTAAGGGAAATTCAGATGACAGAAGTCTGTGAATTTAATTATTGAAATTCACATTCCACAAAATGGGATTGTTCAAAATCTATTTTTACAGGGCATGTAACTGGAACCACACATATATTTTTATTTGGACTCAGGGCCCTAATGATTATAATTGCTAACAAAAATGGTAGCTAGCGGAACTACATTTTTTGTAAAACAAATTTTGACTTTACCTTTCAATCATAGCGCAGATATTTATTAACAATGACAGGGATCATTTGATGATGGAGGCAAATAATTTAACTATGGTGGAGATCATTTGAAGATGGCAGAAGATAATTCAGCGATGGCGGAAGATATTTGCCATCATAAAACAGGTCAGTTTACGATATTTTATTATTGTAAAGTTATTCTAAATAAACAATACACCTTATCGCTAATCCCGCTTGACCTGAGAATCAGTCCCGCTCGAACTTTTGACGTCATACAACAATCACTTTTCCATTGTGGCGTCAAATATTTTCTATTATGACGTCAAAATTTTACGGGAACTTGTCAGACTACACGAATGAATTTTATTTTTACAGGACATTCGGTCTGGTAAACAACCTAGCTTCACCAGACCGAATGAAATTTTACCTGACCAATTTTTTTTACATCTAATTGTATATTATCCGACAAAATACAACGATCTTATGACTTATTGTGCCCTACTCCTCTCCAAAATGCACAAAAACAAAATCATGTGAGAAAGAGTGTATACATGTATTTTGATGAAAGTTGTGCACAATTGCTTGAATGCATTTCAGTGACAAAGAAAAGTAATGTCACATTTTATTGGATTTTGACATGAAAATTATTTGTGAACTAAAAATTTTGAGTTTCTGCATAAAAAATTTCCTGTATCTTCTTTCATTTTCATATATCTTTTGGTTTTCAATTCTAGTGTTTATATTTCATAGCTGTATTTTGTGAACCTGCTTGGATTTTTTTTATGTTTCTATTGTATTTGATCGGCAAACCCGGAAATTGACCTTATCCGTTCCCGGAATCTGATCCAGTATTGTTTATATTTCCGGTTGATGGCAGCCATTGTTGTTTTTATCAGTCAGATATGTTTTTACTCGGATTTACACATTACTTGTATGCGATTTTCGGCATAAAGCTAGCGGTTGAATAAAATAAACATCGCTGTCATGAATAATAAAGATGAGAATGAATTTTGAGATCGTTTGAGAATTTTGCCCCCAAAATTGGGAAAAATGTAGGGTTTTTAAAAAAATCCACGAAAAATATAACACCGGACATTCGGACCGGAATTCAACAAAATTTTACCAGACCGATCCATTATTCACCGGATTTGTCCGACGGTCCGACGTATTTCGTGTAGTCTGACTTGTGTGATGTCCAGTAATGGCGGACAAATAGCGATAAGGTGTATTAATCCTAAAAGCCTAAAAGGGATTCCGAGTCTAGAGATACTCTGTTTTTTTTTTATAGATTTGGCAAATTTTAGTCAGACCTGATTTCTTAGGTAGGGGATAGAACCAAATATATTCAGTGATACACTGACACAGTATAAATCTTGAACATAGGTGATCCAACTGAAAGTACAATACAGTACATTACTGATTTTATACAAATATTTCGTGAAAACATAAGATCAATGATTTTTCTTTACCTTTACAATTGGAATCACAGCAATACATGTATATATACAAAATCAAAGGACAAGGTCAACGTGTGCCCCTCCCACCAATACAGCTTACAACTGAGAATAACAAATTAAACACTAGCTATATTCTCAATGAGTCTATCTTATTGATAATGACAAGACTTTTTGGGTCACATAAATACCTTTCGAATATGAACCCAATGACCTACAAGTGGCTAACAAGTGGCAAACTATGTGCAGCCGGTTAGAAAAAATGTCAGCGCCCCTGTTACCTTGTCCAAACAATTCAGTTTTTCTGTCGGATAAACAATCTTGGTACATTTTGCACACGGAGGATTCATTTTGTGTTAGTCTATCATATATCCACAATTAAAAGATCAGCTAGCAATTATCTCATTAAACACACAAACGACATCGAATCCTATATTCAAGTGTTGATTTTCGAATTCACACGGAAGTACTTAATGAGAGAAGAAGTCAATTACCGAAATCTTGTGTAACTGATGAGCTATCTACAACGGTCTTATGACCTAATTATTATTACAGTAAAACTTAATATCAAACGACTATGTATAAGCAACAAGTATTTATTATTTTATTAACCGAAAATTCTTATGAAAATGCATATATGCAATTTTTTCACATAGTATATTACGTCCGCAAATCCCTTAATTGTCCGTTTTTAGTTACTATGGGTTTGGTATTTGTCGATCATAATTCTAATGTTGGCGGGCACGTGCCATTTTGAATAAATCAGGGGCGCGTCTCAAAACGAAACAACATACTAATAGATTTTCTTAATGTGGTATTTGGAATGTTATTTAAATTTAACTTTATTTTACAACGTTTCCTTTGTTATTACTCATAAAATATCACAATGATATGAAACAGTCTTACATATAGTATTTTCATATGTAGCAATTTTATCTTCAATTATTTTGAGATCCTCCAACACCATGCACGTGTGTTCCTACTAAATACGGTAATCAGTATGCATTTCATCGGAGGGTTTGTATACAGATATTTCATACAGTAAAAGCACAACCCCGGTAGCTTATTTTTTCATTTTACCCAAAAAAGTCAGCCTGTAATATGCACATTGATAGAAAAAAAAACTAATTGAAAATTGAAGACTTTAAAAGTTTTAAATACGCTGTTGACAGAGGCGGAATAAGGGGGCTTGCAGAGGGGGCGCCCCTTTTGGAGTTACATATATGGTTAACGGATAGACTTTGTACATGTTCTACTGATCCCAGAAGTTGCCTAGTTTGGTGCCCGCCCCCTCCTCAAGTTCTTCAAAATCATGGAGCCGCATCTGGTTGACAATAATTAAGTTACATTTTGCGAAGCTATCTAACTTAATAAGTAGTTTCAAGTATACTATATTGAACTAATACATGAATGGATATATATGTTCCTGGTACAATAAAGATTTAAACGCAATACTAAAAAAATACATGAATATACTTGAAATTATTACTTAACAAATGGTTTCTCATTTATATCAGTAAACAATTTTTCATTAGAAGTAAAAACATGCTACATATTATGCTCCAGGTATGACTTTCATCTTTGCTTCACGAGACCCTGTTAGGTCACAAAGTTAACAGTTAGGTTACTAATATTAATAACATTTAACTGAAACCCAAATAAAACTCAGTCATAAGTATTTTCCCTAAACAACACAAAACACAAAAACCGCAACTGATCATTTCTTATGTTTCTGTTAATCTCATTCAAAATTATGTGTTCGAAATGGGACAATCTTTTCTGGTATTAGTGTCGGATCCAGGATGTATGAAAAAAAGGGGGGGGGGGGTTGAAATTCCAGTAAACGAAATATACCGAAAAAAGATTTAACAGATTAAAAGATTTAATGCTTAAATTTACATAATAGGTGATCAAAACAGGAAAGGGGCATATGCCTTTACACTAGCCTATTTGGTTGGGCAATGGCCACTTGGCCTCATTATTTTCAGCATTTTTGGTTAATGATGTGAGATTTGAATTTCCTATAGTCCTTAAAGATGAGACTAAAACACAAAAAACGGTTTTAAACCAGTTGTGTAAATTTTCAAAATTATACATATATTTTTAAGGAAACATCGAGAATGTTGCAGTATTTATTTTTATGTCAATCAATATTAACCAAGTTGCAAGAAGGTAGGTCAAACTTAACTATTAATATCACGAATGCTTTTGTCATCCAGAAGCTTAAATTTCTGTTTAATAACGACTTTTTGAGCCATGAATGTTCAACGGATTCGACGGATACAAAATTAGAGAAAAAAACAGTACTCAACACAAATATAATGTTGACCCAGAGAAATGTCTTGGCTTTTTGTATCTTTTTTTTATTTAATGCAAATATTGAATCCAAATGGCAATATTTAAACTTGTAAACTACTTTAGTATGCAAAACATTCCATGTCAATAGACCAAAAACTGTTTCTCGTACCAAAATTTCCATAAAGATTCAGTAGAATAATGGTTAGCATAAACATGTTGATAAAAAAATAGGTTAATAGGGAGTTATGCCATAACTGTTACTAAAATACAAGAGTATACACCTCAAATATAAAAAATAAAAGAAGAATGTGTCCATGGGACACAAATGCCCCCGCTTGTAAATTTGCATGTGTCAATCTACTTACTTAAACATATTGACGTTTTGTTTTCCTTTAAACTTTATGACATATATTTCTTTGTGTTGTCATTAGAGATTACTCGGAGGTTTCAACATTGCCCTCATTGTTCAATAACAAACGGTAATGGGATAACTCAAGAACAGTAAAAATGATGCCAACCTAATTCGAATGTGATCTGTGTTTGGTTGTAATAAGTATTATGTATAAGTTTCATAACATTCGGTTGTGGCAAAGTAAAGTTAGAGTGCAAAAACGGCCATTTCGCCATTTTTCATTTATAAAAGGTCATAGCTCAAGAACGGCGAAAGTGAAGTCACCAAAATTCGAATTTGATCAGTGGTTGGTGGTTATAAGCATTGAGTACAAGTTTCATTACATTTGGTTGTGGCAAAGTAAAGTTAGAGAACAGAAACAGCAAATTCGCCTATTTTTTACATTTATAAAGGGACATTACTCCAGAAATTGAAAGTGACGCCACTCGAATTCTAACTTGATCTGTGTTCGGTAGTAATAAGGATTGTGTATAAGTTTCAGCGGCTCTTTTCACAAAAAATCTTCAGAATAAAAATTTTCTTTTGGGCTTATATCTTGACAACAATAGCAATTAGAGTAAAAATGGTCAACACAATAAGTCATACACATTTCAGTATAGCTTAGGAGCATTTTTTGTGAAAAGCGTTGCAGAACATTTAGTTGTGGCAAAGCAAAGTTAGAGAACGAATTCAAAACCAATTTCGGGACGTACGGATGGACAAGATTAAACCGTAATGCCCCCCTCCGCCACGGCTGGGGCATTAAAAACTTTAAGGACTCAACCCAGCACTAGAGACAAAATCTGTTAATAAAATAAAATTGAGAATGGAAATGGGGAATGTGTCAAAGAGACAACAACCCGACCATAGAACAGACAACAGCAGAAGGTCACCAACAGGTCTTCAATGCAGCGAGAAATTCCCGCACCCGGAGGCGTCCTTCAGCTGGCCCCTAAACAAATATATATACTAGTTCAGTGATAATGAACGCCATACTAAACTCCAAATTGTACACAAGAAACTAAAATTAAAAATAATACAAGACTGACAAAGGCTAGAGGCTCCTGACTTGGGACAGGCGCAAAAATGCGGCGGGGTTAAACATGTTTATGAGATCTCAACCCTCCCCCTATACCTCTAGCCAATGTAGAAAAGTAAACGCATAACAATACGCACATTAAAATTCAGTTCAAGAGAAATATCTTCAATATCCGGTATAATTTAAAGAATATATAAGGTGAACACGTATTAATAATTCATAGAAAAATGTAATAAACAGCAGTTTTACAATAAGGCCAATGGTACATTTTTTTACTCCACAGATGGAATTTACCACATTCTCTTGAAGAATTACTGTTGTTTGTCTGTAGTTTTGTTTGTTGGTAATTCAGCATTGATTTTCATCCTTCACATTTTCCTTGGAAATTGTAACTTTTTACAATGTGGATCTTGAAATCTCTTTTTGTTGCAACATATTAAAAGTTGAATCTTATAAAATAGAAAACAAAATGCCGTTGCTATGGGCAAACTGTTGTTGCTAGGGAGAAATGGCAATGATTTTGCCATGTGCATTACATTGTGTTACATTTAAACAGTGTATAAATGTATAATTTACTGCATGTTAAACGGGGTGGATTTCAAATATGAATAGATTTAAGCTGTATATTCAGCATATTTAGTGACTTTATCTCCACCATTATACTGGTTGCTAGGCAGAAGAATATAAGAGATAGACCCAAACTGTCACCATTTTCAGAAGCTCTGTGGTATAGAGTTATAACATGACAAATTAAATGAAATTTGGGGGTGTGGCCAAAAATGGCCCTTATCGCCCCTTGTCCTTTATAATTCAAATTCATTTATCGATTTCGTGTGTTCGCATGTTCGTGATTTCGCGATCTCGCATTTTCGTGATTTACATTGTCGCGTATTCGTGTTTTCGCGGTTTCGCGTTTGTCAATCACTGCCTAACTACTGTTGATTATTTCGTATATTCAATCTGTTTGGATTTTGGTTAACAAATTGAAGAAAACTGACTGAATTATATAATTTCAAGTACTATTACTTTTTTAGAATGAGTACTTACGTATGTAAACTAAATTGTAATGATAACGGGTAGCACTTGACATTATATTTTTATTACGGGTGGGTTGGAAGAAATGCCAACACAAAATGAGTTATACGATAAACATTTTACTAAATTTGATTTAAACTATCTTCAATATATATCTTAAAGAGACAACGAATTGGTCAAGTTCTTAACTATTTTATCAATATCTCTTCAAATTGTAAATCATCATCCTATCAGATCGAAGATATGAGATGGTTGACAGTAGTGGGCAGTTATTGACAAATGCAAAATCGCGAAATCACGTAAACGCAAAATCACAAAAACGCGAAAGCGTAATCGAGAATTAAATTTCGCGTTTATGCTATTTTGTTTTCGTGTTTTTGCGTTTTTGCTTTCTCGTTTTCGTGTTTTCACATTATTTGCGCTTTCGTGAATTTTTAAGATAAAGGTTTCACAACAAGTATCACATAAACTTAACGTCGACCATTGATTATTGCGCGTAATATATGCATGAGAAACTCAACTTACCACGAAAACTTGGAGTTGACCAATGAAACAAAAAGATGAGGTAAAGGGCAGATGGACCTTGACAGATGAACATGCACACCATACAACCATATTGAACACACGAAAAAATAATTAATCTATTGCATTAATTATTGCTTATGGTATATACGTTAAATTATAAAACCCTGAAAGTGAGGTCAATGTCAGATGAACCCTGCCGGAC